ACAGGAACAATGTTGAAATGGTCAACGATTTGTTACCTATGTATGTACCACAATAAAAAAAGAAAAAAATGCACTGCTATGAAATATCCAGACTAGGTAAACCCATGGAGACAGAAAGCAGGTTAGCGGCTGCAGGGACTAGTCGCTGGGAGAAATGAGGATTGGCTGCTGATGGGTACAAGGCTCCACCCGGGGTGATGAAAAAGGTCCGGAGCTAGATGACGGTGGTGGCTGCACAACACTGAATGTACTAAATGGCACTGAGCTGGACACTCTACAATGGCTAGAATGGTAAACTTTGCTATGGGTGTTTCACCATCCACAAAAAAGAAAAATAAAAAAAACACTCTACATATTATGAATGAAAATAAAAACAGGTTTCTGATAAAAGCCAAAACGTAGCTATCGGGGGACTGAGTTGTGCTGGGTACCATCCCCAACCCCAGGGGCTCCAGTTACCACAAGCCATGGCAAGCAGTGGTCTCTGAGGTCCCAGAGAAAGCAAGAGAAGGACTAGCCCAGCACTGGTGTCCGGCAGGGAGTAAGATTTCAACAAATGTTATGATTATGAACAGCACAGGGCAAGGCTTCCCACTGTTATGGAGTGAACTGTGTCCCCTAAAAATAAATCCTAACCCCTCTGCTTGTGGTTATAATCCCCTTTCGGAATGAGTTTTCTTTGTTGTGTTAATAAAGCAGTATTAGTATAGGGTGCACCTTAAATCATTCTCTTTTCAGATCTAAAAAGACCAGATTAAGCAAGGAAGCAGAGATGGGGGAAGACAGACACCATGCCACGTGAAGATCACCAAGGAGCCAAGGAAGAGAAGCGGAGGAGACAAGGCCCCGCCCCTGCAGAACAGAGAGAGAGAGAGAGCCTTCCCCTAGAGCTGGCGCCCTGAATTCGGACTTCCAGCCTCCTGAACTGCGAGACAACTAATTTCTGTTGGTTACAACCACCCACCTGTGGTATTTCTGTTATAGCAGCGCTGGATAACTAAGACACTATTTCCCGTTTCTTAAACACTCTACACATTCGCACGTGCAGCCCCTCTGCTTGTAACAGCCTTCCCTAAACTGGAGAACTCCCACGCGGCCTCTAAGGCCCAGCTCAACTGCCCTCTGCACAAACGTCCCACAGCTCTGGCCCCTGGTGTGGCCAGTCAAAGTCCCCTCGCCCGTCCCCATGCCCTTAAGAGTACCCTTCCCTGCTCGGTGGCACCTCCCTCCCTCTCATGGCTCCTTCACAGCCTGCTTCTTGCTAGACTCTAAGCCACCTCAGGGCACTGACTACGTCTTCCTCTGTTCTGCCCCTCAACGCCCAGCACAGCAGGTGCTCAAAGAGTGTTTGCTCAGTAACTGATCCCCATATTGGTCAGCAGTCTCTACATGGAGCCCTCCTAACCCTGGGCAGCCACGTGGCGCCTCACGGAGGACCGCCAGGATGTACACCTGTCCTGTGCAGCAGATGCTGCTTCAGGGCAGGCCAGCCCAGAGCAGCGAGTCTTCCAGGTGGAGGAGTCTGGCCCCCAAGCCCCACAACAGCACCACTACACCCGTTTAACGCCTTCCACCGGTGAAGCCTCAGGTTTCAAACAAGGGCTGAGAAAGAGCATGCTATCAACCACGGACCAAGGGGCCACCAAGAGACCCCTCCGCAACTCACAACGGTGGCCCCTCCTTTGACACCCTAGATTGGCTTGCTTGGACCAGAGGGCCCCTCTCAGCGCCTGGACAGACCCCCAGGACGGTGTGCAGCCAGCACCCCCTAGCCGAACCCATGGGACAGAACTTGTCCACCCCTCCTTAGCTGCCCACTCACTGCAACCCCTGCCCACCTTGACACCCTCCAGGAGCGCCTGGGGGTCCTCGATGCCCTCAGGGACACACTTCTTGTTCTCTGGGAGGGACTCGAGCTTCTCCACCAAAGCTTTCAGGCCCTTCAGCTCAAACTCAGTGAGGTGGGTCCATTTGGCAGAGACGTCAGTGGTGGGTGAGCCGGTGGGCGTCTTGGGATAGTCTGCAGGCACCGTAGTGGACTTCACGCTTTCCTCGGACTCATTAGACAAAGTCCTTTTGAGGAACCGCAAGGCAGGGGCTTTGGGCTTCTTCCCGGGGGCCTCTGAGTCCTCAGTGGGGGTGCTAGGGGGCGAGGTGGGGCCATCGGCCAGCGGCTTGGGCACTTTCTCGCCACCCTCCTCCTCCTCCTTCTTCTCTTCCTCCTCCGGGGGGTTCTGCTCACAGGACTCCTCATCCATCTCTGGCCAGGAATCT